TAACGATCAAGCGAAGATTTTTATCCATTTACTACAAGTAAAAATCAACTTGAGCCGATGGTTTTTTTTTTTTCAAAGTCTTTTTGGGTTACCAACAGAATCAATAAAGAATCGAACTTTATACGATTAGATTTCTTTTCGAAAAAAATAAATAAATCGAAAAAATGTGCATATCCGAAAGAAAAAAAAAATCTTTAAAATCTAGCCTAATACAACTGATGATATTACCTTTACTTTATTCTTAGGACTGTTACAAAGACTCAAATAAAGACTTAGACATGTTGAAAATTTAATCAAAATCTAATTTCAAGCGCTCTTTTTATTTCGACTGACCTTTAATTGTGTTCCTCTTTTGCTGCATTTTACTACTTGTAATCCAATTTTTGCCGTTCGTGTATGTAAATCGAGACATTATCATTTTCAGAAAGAAACGTACAATGTTACTATTTCACCAATGTATGCTGAAAAACTGTCTTCTATCAGAATGAAGATTACCAGAGATTTAAATTCATCGTCATTACTTCATAACCAAAGCAAAGCAAGGCTAGTATATGTAAACTGATTTCCTATCGCCGCATATTGTGAAATTCAAATATCGATTCGTCAATGGTTTTACGTCGTTGAATATGCTAAAAGTATACTTAATCTTTTGTGACGGTTTTCTATGGTTTCTGCAGGGTGAAACTGTTCCATCGAACACTAAATATACAATTGAGTTCCTCACTAAATCAAGACATACCAACAATGAATACAAACTTCACCCTATAGCTAACGGCTTCCAAATGAACATCGTTCGTGCATCGTATGTTCACTGTTTTCAGTTTTCTTTTAACTTTTGAATACGATAGCGTTAAAACATAGACAAATTATCAAGTATTTTTTTCCCTCAAATTCCATTTATACAAAATGATTCGTGAAATTGTAATATTTGTCTTTGCTGCAGTAAGCATGGTAAGGGCTAAATAAAACTGGTTTGTTCCACAAGAAACAAGATAATTCGAAGATATTTTATGATGAAAAAAAAATTAGGTTCATGCGGCCCATTTCAAAGTGACTTCACAAGTTAGCATGGATATATCCGTGGATAACAAGCCCATTGGAACTATTACCATCGGGCTGTTTGGAGATGATTCACCAAAAACTGTCGAAAATTTCCGAACGATTTGTATCAAAGGCATCAATGGAAAATCCTACAACGGCACAAAATTCCATCGCGTTATCGACAAATTCATAATTCAAGGTGATTTTAGTAGCAAAGTAAACAAGAACTTAAACTATTACGAAGAAAATTACAGCTTTTTCAAACTAGGCAAAGATTTTCTGTGATTATATTTTTCATAAGCCATCAAAATTGTTTTTGATTAGGTGGTGATATTGTATCTGGTGATGGTCGAGGCTCATTGAGCATTTATGGCAAGCACTTTGAAGATGAGAATTTGACAGTTAGACACACCGGCCCAGGTTTTATTGGAATGGCCAATAGCGGGCCCAATAAGAATGGCTGTCAATTTTATATCACAACAATGGAATCGCCATGGCTGAATGGAAAGCATACGATTTTTGGAAAAGTCGTAAATGGAGCGGCTTATGTTCATTTAATTGAAAAAGTGAAAAACAAAGAAAAGTTTCAATAAATTATCGAGATAGTACTAATGAGTTCCGAATTTTAGTTGGCAACAGATGAAAACCGAAAACCACTGAAAGATGCCGTTGTAATTAGTTGCAGGGATGAGCCAATGTTCTCCTCATACTATTATATCAGCGATAATCCATATGAGTGAGTTGCCGTATTCAGTCAAATAACCTAAAGAAATATTTGTTCAAATAATCCAAAACCATTTATATCTTCCAGTTTGTATGCCTGGATAAGAGCGTCTGCGATTCCATTGGGTTTTAGTTTTGCTGTACTCGGAATTTTCGCCGTAATCATCCGAAAGCTGGACAATATATCAAAAGCATGTGAAGAAGACGAAGATGATCAAAAGACCGAATAAAAGGGTTACACAACTAATCAGAAAGAAAGAAAGAAAGAGAAAAACAAACCATTTCACTTCATTGCGTTTTGTATAATTCGGGTTATTGTTATTTTTCATTTTAAAATTCAGTTTTTTTTTTCTATCTCTTAGATCGATCTTAAAAGGTATCGGCTATAAAATAATATGTTACGTTATTTTAACAATTTAACATGAACGAATACATATTGGTTTCATGTATTTAAACACTTGTGTTTTTTTCTTTTTACAAAATTGTGTTTTTTTTTCGCCGCTTTTGTGGTATGTTTCACTTAAATGCTAAAAAATTACACTAAAATTTCGGTCCATTTTCGCCGGGATGTAAAAATTTACAATTTTTCCCGTGCCTACAAAAGCCACGTTGAAATTGCTTGCATATTCTACGATTCGAAACCCAATTCTGTCGTGTATTGTTGTTGTTGTTGTTGTTGTTTTGGTTGTTGTTCGGACCTTGAGCTTGCCAATTATTGTTAGCGACATTATTGTTGCCACCGAACCAATTGTTTCCGCGATTGGCGCGATTGTCGGGCATCATCGGTGGCATACCTTGTGCGAAATTGTTCATAAATGCCATATTATTTGGTGGCAATTGTCCCATCATCGGTGCCATTGTGGGTGTATTGAATGCGTGAATCGGATTCATGTTGATCGGGTTGATTGCGTCCGGTGGAATCATGAGACCGATTTGTGGCGGTCGAATGCCCATTATATTTTGTGCTGGCCAATTCATGTTGTTGAATTGACTGAATGTACCAAAGTTTGAAATGCCATTCAAATCGTCGAGATTGCCAGCTTGGTGCGGCGGTGATCCTTTCGCCTCGGGCCAAGGCATATTGGTGTAATCATGTATGGCGTCCGTATTTCCGGTAATATCGTAGAGAGGTATGGTTGGTGGTTCAATATTTTGGAATGCAATCACATCTGGTTCAAGTGGACTGTCTGGGATCATTGCTCGGTTAAAGTAAATTGTGTTGAGGCACGTTTTTTCACGTTCGGCCTGCACTTCGCGTTCTTTGCTCTTCACTTCATGTTCGGGCACATCGTCGACCAAAATCAGTGGTGCCCATGCTATTTGTTCCGTCATCACATCGTCAGCGATACCCTTTCGCCCAATCTTAAATGCTTCACGCTCGTTGACACGTTCAATTTGCTTCATATCGACAAATGTTTTGGTCACATTCACCCGTTCCGTTTCATCCAATTCGAAGAATCGCACTTCTTCGAGAGATTCTTGTGGTTTCCATCGTAACGTTTTCTTTGGGCCTTTGCGTCGATGAATCGTTAAAACACCTGGTGGACCGTCTGGGCCACAACCCGGTCCTGGTTCACGTTTCACTTCTTCAACCGGCTCTTCGGGCGATTCAATTGTGGCTTCCACCGATTTTTGTTCAACAGTTTGCTCTTCACTTGAATCGTCTTCCGTTTTGAGTTTCTTTTCCTTCGTCTCGCCATCGTCTGAACCGTCCGTTTCTCTTTTGGCTGCGTCTAATTTGGTATCCTCTTTATTTTCACTCTCTTCTAACGTGTCTTGATAGAATCGCAATGGAGCGGCTGTCACAGCTTTGGCCGCATCTTTGCTGTCTTTCGGTGCTGTTGTCTTATTATCGCCGACAATTTCCGACTCTTTTGCACTTGTGATTCGCTTACGCTTTCGCACCTCTTTTTTGGTGGTCGCCGCTGTCATTGCATCCATAAACATGTCTGATTCAATCAATACCGATGCTAAAAATACAAAAAAAATATAAACCAAAATTCAACGATTAATATTTATCGAAATCGAAAAATGTGAAAATCTTGTGAAAATATTCGTTAAAAAAAAAAAATCTCGATATTTCGAGGCAGCTTGATGTGGTGTGATGACGCAGCTATGTGAAAAGATATTGTTTATATCGATCGCCTGAAAAAAAGTACAAAAAAATTGATTACATCTAAGATTTGCTTTCATTCGTCACATTCACCGACGTAAGGCGATTTTCCGATAAAATAAAAACGGCAATTATTTCTGGGCATGGCAGAAGTTGAACGCATATAAAATCGTTACGATTACTATAATTAGTATGTTTTCGATTATTTCATCGACAAATAAAAAATAATTTTATTTTGATGTTAAAACATCAACAACTGACTAAAGCTATGCTCAACGTCATAAAAGGCGAGAATAACTTAACGGCTTCAAAGCTTTCGCCAGATTTCATGTGCGTTTATTCGATGAATCATCGTTGGAACTTTTTACGCAGCATGACTTTTGAGTCCCTATCAGTTTTTAACGCTGCAAAGTGTATGCAAGGATGTTGGCATAATATTCAAAAATGAAAGTAAGAAAAGGGCGACAAAAGTGTTCAGCACTCTTTGTATGTTTATATTCCTGTACTTGTTGGCTTATTTGTACGTTGTTTGGATTTTTGTGTTTGATTACATCAGTGAAACCGATCGGTGAATTATTAAATGACTGGAAAACCCATTGAATAAACACTTGCTATCATTTTCACATGCGAATTTTCCCCCGAGAAATGATAACGAACCCATAAATTTCGGAATAAATCCAATTCAACGAATTGTTATGTTATTTTGTTTACCATTCAGCCACGCTGATACACCACGAATGATTAATGATTAGTTGGGATGACGGTTTGTTGCTTTAATAAAAACAAAACGGTACGTTTATAACGCGTTCGATCAACCATATATACAGAGTGCAAAGGATGGGGCTATGGTAAACAATCTGACAACAATTTCAAAATCACAAATGAAATGTCATCAGAATTTTATTTCGAATATTCTTAAGCCGAATGTTTATAAAAAATCGAAAAAATTGAGACAAGCGCCAATTTGAATGGTTTAACCGTTACATCATAGAACGAAATGTCGCATCGAAATGCGAAAAAAACATAAATGAATAATTAATATATGTGTATAGCGTCATCGTTCTTATGGTGTAACGGCCAAATCTTGGAAAGAGGCACGCTTTCGACACGGATCAGTTGAACTATTCAGTATTGTTGTTATTCACACAGAACAATTGTTGCCTCGGGATATACACACAGATAGACAGAGAGGCACAATTTGTATCTGAAGATGGATTCAGCTCAATATAGCTCGTTTAGTTCACGTACATCGCATTGGCTGCGACTGAATGGATAGAATGATAGCTCGGTTTCACGTTTCAACAATATTATAGATTGATTTCACGTTGTTGTTGCCAAAAAAAAAAACACACAGAGAGAGACATGCATTCTTTTGCTATAATAAAAACTTCGATAGCCCAACAACCAATTATTATGTATGTATACGTAAATGTGATCAGTGCCAAGTACAATTCCACACGTGGTGTGTGATCTTGTTTGTTTATTTTCATTTTTGTTTCTTCTAAACACCTTATTACTTTGCATTGACTAAACTACTAACAAATTTATAGCCTAAGAATGATGAACACACGCCATCGGCTAGGGTCGCAATCACCACTCAACCGCAAACGATGAATTGTCTCTATCTCAGTAACAGCATTTTAGCGGCCCGTTAATTCAATTTTGGAATTGAAAGCATATGTTGTTTTCAGCAGTTCAAAACACACATCAATATACACATAGATATGCTCTCTTACCTCTGCAATGGCATTGAGTAAAGAGTAGTAAAAGAACTTGTTGCTTGCTTGCTTAAGTTTTGTGTGTGTTCATTCCATGCAAAAAATTGACAGAATTTCTTTTTTCCACAAAGTTTTAACGTTTGGACTTGCGATTTTTCCGATTCGTTACATGCTTGCTGTTTCGTGGCCGTTGCGGCCCTAGTCTTGAGGCTTTCTATCAGTTTCACTTGTACTTTTTATTTCAACCTTTATTTGATTTTTTCAGTATTATTATTATCGTTTTTTTTTTCTCTTTCTGTGACAAAATTGCGGGCAAAAGAGCCGGAGCAAAATGGCACATTCTGTATAGGGGGAAGTTGAAAGTTTATTTAAAACGTAAATATGTCGCTATATATTTTGAATGCATGTTAAGATATTCAAATCAAAAAAGAGTAATAATATAGTTGATCTGTAGCATTTGTTTGTTTGTTTTTGGTTTTGGTGTATTATTAAAGGTATAAAAGGAGGTCGTATACTTATATCTCAGCCATAAAAAATTGTTTGGCCTGTGCGCGAACGCAATCCATTGCAGTGCATCGATCACAATGCCTTTTCACATAATGCACACGATCATCACGACCTGAGAATAGATACAATACAAGTACCGATTAGTTGGTTCACATTCATTGAGATACTTACGTTTCGGTTTCGCTGGAATGAGCTTGATCGCTCCCGGTTTGTCCACAGTTGGCGATGACAGTTTGATTTTCTTTTCGAGTTCTTTGACGGTGTGGTTGATCGGTGATAGGGATCGTTTTGCAACGATTGGTATTCCATTTGTAAGCACAGACGCTGGTTTCTTAAGATCTTTGCGAGATGGTGGTGGTGGAGCTTCTTCGGCCAATCCATGACTTCTGAATTGTTTGTTATAGGTTTTAACCGTTTTCGGTCGATTTTCAACATCTTTACGCACTTCAATTGAAATCGATTTCTTCTTGGCGGGCACTGAGGTTTCGGTGGTTGCTTTCTTCGTCGGATCCGTTGATCCGTCGGAAGATGTGGTTTTCTTCGGGATTTTTCCTAGTTTTTCAAGTGTTTTTGGTTGAATTTTCGCCAAAGTGTCTTTGTCTTTTTCGGCTTGGGTCTTGGACGATTCCGAATTTTTATCTTTCGAGCTACTTGAACCCGAAGAGCTAGAAGATTTCGATGACGATTTGTGTCTATCTTTGTCACGACTACTGCTCGATGAGCTGCTCTTGTGACCGCTCGTCGAAGATGACGAACTACTTTTGTGGGGTTTACTATGGCTGCTCGATGATTTTGAACTACTACTGCTGCTGTTGTGCTTCGATGATGACGATGACGATGACGATTTGTTGCTGCTTGAGCTTCGATGCGATGATGAAGAACTGGATTTCTTGTGATGGTCTTTGCTCTTTTCACGGTCTTTACCGTTTTTGTCATCTTTTGATTTGTCGCTGCGCGACTTTGACGACCGCTCATCCGAATCGGAATCTTTTAACGTATCGGCCAGACGTTGGCTGCCATTCTTTTTGGGCGATGTATCGCTTATTTTGGCCAGCGTTTGTTTGCCATCTTTCATAGTAAATTTGAAAACTAAGCCTTCACTTTCATCAGCTTCACCTAGATCATTCGCACAATCAGTCACATCATTATCGTTTATTTGAGACTCACACAAGCTACTATCTACAGTATTCAAATCGCCTGCACTGTCTAAGCTCTGATCACTAAACATTTGAACCGGCTTAACAATAATTTGAGTCTGAGGATCAAGAAGGTTTTCTTTATTAAATACAATTGAATTTTGACTAGAGATTTCGCCTCTCGCTATCTTAAGCCACTGCTCAACGAGTCTCGTTGCCAATATGCGAACACCTGTGGGAAAATAATGATAGAAACACACAAATGTCACACGTTAGTCATTTTTGTATGAAAAATTATTTGAATTTTCCTTATTCTATCACTGTTTTCGTTTCTTTTTTTTTTCACTTTTTAAAATGGTTTTGCTAATTTATCGAGAAAAAAAAATATATTACCTTCATTTTCCTCTTCGCGCGATAGACCTTTGACCAGTTTGGGTGCAGAGTTGCTTTGTAATCGCGGAACATCAACCGGACACAAGAGCAACAGTTCCAATAGCTCCTGCACTAAAGGCCAATTTTTCGAATCGATTCCATCCGCCAGCCATGAATGCACCAACGGCCATCCACCGCAACCCATGAATTGTCCCAGTAATTCCGTTTCGGTACACTTCAGAATTTGAATATAAATGCATTTTGAGACGAGCTTCTTTGAGTATTTGCTCATTAACCTAAATGTCGAAGAAGGAAAAAACGTGACGCAATTTGTTGAAGATTAGTTTTTTGAAGAAAAAAAAAAGTAATTTGAGCGTTTTACAGTTAGATAATCAAAACCGAAAATGATGAAAGAAAAAAAAAATTTATATTTACCCGGCGAGTCTTTTAACTTCGGTCGCACTACGAATTCCTCCATTTGGCGATAAAAGTACACCAATGCAAGATAATAATTTCACTGGATCAATCCTTGGCTGTAACATTGAAAAAACACTGTTTTAAAACTGCTGCCAAAAATGTTCGTCAATTGAAAGGAAAAAAAAACAGCGGAACAAAAAATAATAAAAACTGCCACGTATTGCTTCACTCGACAAATTCTGAATAACAAATAAGGTGATATTTTTTTTTTCGGTTGCAAGAGGTAATCTGAAGTACTGACAACTGATTAGAGGAACATTTGACTTTGCATTCGTACAGAATAGTGAATTATGTGGGAAGTGCGCTCAAAACACACCCATTAAAAGCATTTTGGTCTTTTCCATTCAATCAATCTACTACACAAACACACGAGAAACAAAAATCTATCAAATCTAGTCCATCAGTTGTTCATTAGACGTTCGCAGTCAAACAAAGAGCGTAAAGCAACAGGAAATATAGTACAGTCGTATTAGGCAATTATGTAAATCGTACGTCGAATGCACACAAACAAATATATATGTTTTTTTTTTTTCTATGGCCAGAATAAATGAAAACGCTAAACAGATTTGGAAGATATTTTATTTTTGGAAGAAAAAACATACCATTTTCGTTTCAACCTACTGAAAATTCATTCACATTCAAATAAAAGCCATACAGAATTTTTCTGATATTTATGGCATTCAAGTAGGTCTTGGTAGTTCAGAAAGACAAATTTTTTTTTTCTTTTGTCGTATAGAAAAAACCAAAATGGCGGAGACCTTCACTTTTGATTACCCGTAATCACTTTCACAAAATCAATCGACATTGAAAACACTCTCAATATATATTTCTTTTTCTTGTTAAAAATGTTTTTTTTTTATATATATATATGGTCAGTTCGTTAAGCTAAATTGCTTAAATTTTATTTTCAGTTTATTTTCTTTCTTTATCATTAAATAATTTTCCAATGGAATCGTAAATGGTGTCGATTATGTACGATTTGCATGAATCTAAAAAAAAAAAAATTCTTTTCATATAGTTTATGAATAAGCTACTGTGCTGCTGCTATATTGCGTCTGAATTGTTCGATGACTTCTCCAAAACTGATTCGCCAAAAGGAAATGTAAGAACAGTGTTGCCATTCCCTGTGCGTACAGCGACACACCCGTAAATGTTTTGCCAAATGGATGCGTTCGATGCTCATCGATCAAACACAATCGGAAAACGATTAAAATTCAATTGTTTGGAAATGATTTTAATTTTTTTCTTTTCAAATATCATCAAAGTGGGTCAAAAGAAATAAATTGAAATAGTTGTTTGAATTTTTACGATTTGCGGAAGTTTTATTTCAAGTAGATGTGAAACCGCAAATGTCATGTCAATTCAAAAGACCGCACACTGTATTTGAATGACAGCTCTATGGAGCAGCATGTTTTGACATTCGCATTTGGATATGTCAATAGAGGTTTTTTTAAGAACACACAATAAAATTTGCAATAAATTTCATTTTCAATTAAAAACCACTGTAAATAGTGTGATTCATCGGCAAAAATGAGTGCATTACTCAAGCAGGGTGAGTTGGTTTCAAAGAATATTTGGTTTGGTTTGGTTAGAAATTTTTAGATTTTTTGTGTTTAAATCAAACTCAACTTAACCAAAAAAAATTGTTACCGAACGATACTCAATTGAAATTGACACTAGAGAAGTAGAAAACGCCTGAATAAGCAATTGAATGAAGCAAAAATTTAACAACAATGTTTATTTTTCTAAATTTCAGGTTTGCTGCACAGTGAAAACATCTTGGTGCAATGTAAACGATACGGGAGCAAAATAAATATACAAAGACCACGTCCGCCACATTACACTCGTAAATTGTTCAATGCGGTCACAGAGCCGGTATACCCGCGTCGAACAGCCATCGATTTATGCCAGGAAAAATTGGCACTGCAACAATTGGAGAAACAGCACAGAGAACAGAATGTTTTGCATCCATATGAAGGTATCTTGGCCAAAGAGTTGTTCAGTTTTTTCGATTCGGCAAAAATGATTTTGATTTGCCACAAGAATTCGATGGATGGATTTGAGTTTTTCAATTTCAAAGTGGCCATGCACAAGAAGAATATTAAGACGAAAATTATGTCACGAAAAATCATTAAAGGAGCAATAGGGGATACTAAATTCAACGCAATGTTACCGTTGCTAATGGATACACCATACAGTTGCATGCTATTCAGTGACGAATGGAATGTAAACGATGCGTTAGCGGTGCTGAAAAAAACACCAAAAGTCATTCTGCTGGCGGGTACACTGGGCGATCGATACATGAGCCGAAATGAATTGGAAAACTATGCTAAGCTGCCAGATTTGACAACGGTACGAGCTCAATTTGTGGCGACAATGAATTCGGTTGGCGGTCAACTAACAAATCATCTGCAAGCACATCAAAGTAATTTTGCGTACATGCTTGACGCACACGCGGATGCATTGAAAAATGCAAACACCGGCACCAGCACGACCAACGTTGATAAATCGAATAATACGACGACTGACAAATCCACATAAGTTAAGAAATCGAATGTACCTTGTTTACAGATGAAATGAACTAAATAGTGAATAAAAAACATAACAAATTGATTACAGAAGCTATTAAGCGTTTTGACATGAAACACACATTTTTTTTAATGATCTGACTAGTTTTTTCTTCGTTTTCTCTTTTTCCTCGAAATTTATAAATAGCATTGAAATCAGGGAAATTTATATTGAAACACACATTTACACATGCACACAGGATCGGCAGAATCGGATTTCAGTTCGTTCGTTGTTCCGTTCGGAAGTCGAACGCTGAGTGGCGATATCAAATCGTGACCGACACATTTGTTGAATGTGAGACTCGAATAACCACTTGCATGTAAAAATAAAAAAAAACACTCTGTTTTTGTCGTCGGCAATTAACGATTCCACCCGAACTGCCGTTTGTTTGAAGAATCAGCCAAAAAAAAAAATGATTATTGTTGAAAACAAATCAACGATCGCCGTGAAATTCAAATGGAAAAGCTTTAGGTTTTTTTTTTCCTCAGTCATGTTTTATTTTGATCATAGTCGCAATTTAGAAAGAAAAACATCGTTCAATGTCTTGAAAACAAGAAAAATAAACGAAGCATAGGATTGACAAGGTTTCAGTGGACGATCTAAATAAATAAAAGGAAAACACAATCGACGGAGAAAGAAAGAGAGGGAAAACGGACCACAAATTGGATGACACAAAGCATCGTGAAAAATCGCGTTTGTTCGCATTCTACAAACACTACCGAATGGATTATAAAGGATAACAATTTATATGCGACTTTTGTTCTCGACCGATGTTATCATATGGTCGGTTAGCGATGTGATACGAACACAGAGCGGCGTGGTGTGTGTGTGTGTCTGTGTGTGATACGCTGTGACATCCTAACATGTTTTCCCAACAACATTCATCGTGACAATATTCGTGTTTATTTTAAGTGTTTCTTATTCTTTGGCTCATTTTCATTCAGTATTTAAGGTATGTGCAATTTTTTCTCGCCTTTCAGTCGATTCTAATCCATGTCGCGTGCAAAACACAGTGTACCAAGCACAAATTCGCCTGAATAATTTAAGCGAATCAACAACAACAAACCGAACAAAAAGAAAAGAAAATAAAACGAAGAAGAAGAAAAATAAAATAATATTTGGATGTGAAAACAAGAATTGTACGCTTTGTGGTGTTTGGCAGGTCAAAAATAGAAAATAAAGTCCAGTAACGGTAGTTATTTTTCTACTGGTAGTGGCTGGCACAAAGAGAGAGAGAAGGAGAAAGATACCCAGTGGTCGAATAGTAGCGTCGTGTGTTATTGTGTTTATTTTAAAATTAATTCAATAAGAAACTAGTTTATTTTCGGCTGTGCTAATTTAATGATAAAATTAAGTAAGTTGGAGGTGTTTGTTTTACAATTTTTTTTTCTTTTCCTTTTCGTTGCTCTTAATTGTTTCTTCAATTTGTTGTGATGCTTCGTATTTTCGGTGCGAATGAAAAGGAACACTTTTTGTGGCATTCCAATGATTCAAATCTAGAAAATAGTTTATTTTTATTATTTTTTCTTTCGTGAAATTCGCATTGGTGTTGAAAAGTTGAGTTTTCCTTCAGAGACAAAAAAAAAAATGGACGACAAAGGTCATAGATGATTTGTGCAATTTTTTTCCTTCTCGAAATCATCCTTTTGCGCATGATCAATGACATCGAATTTCATTATTTGGCCAACTGAATTGATCAACATTTCTTCCTAATCACAAATTACGAGCAAAAAATAGGATGCCATGAAAATGGTCCAAATTTTTTTCTTCTCCTTCGGAATTTTCCGTTTCTTCTCATCATTTTCATCTCGTAATCTCTATAAATTGATAACATCATTGTAAATTTGCATTCGCTGCCTTGTTTTGAGCTTATAAAACTCAACGCATATACTAATCAAATTGTAGCAAGGCTCACGAAATAACACACTCATATAGAAATTTCATATCCAAATCGTTGTACGTTCGCGCGAATCAACGACGACGACACAAAAGAAAAACATTGATTCGATTACGTATAAACGCGGGGGACATGAAATTATTGTTTTTTGCAATCTCAAACGAAAATGAGAAAATGTCGTCGCGCACATATGTGGTGACAAGATCGAGTCTCATCGCTCTCAGCGAAAGCAGAAACGTTGAGAACCGAACGCCCGTGTACTATAGAAATCGTGTTTTTTTGTGCGCATATTTTTAGACACCACAAATGAAGCTGTTTTACAAGTTGTGTTTTTTTTATCGCATTTTCTTCTGTTTTTTCCTTTTCACATACAAAATAATCTCTCTTTTTTTTCTGTGTCTTTATAGAAATGGATAAGGGTACGCGTCCCATAAGAAGTAGAATGCATAGTAGGTTCGTTTCGGGCGTGCAAGTGTGTGAGCGTGTTGTTTTTTTTTTTCAATGCAAAACTTGCATGTAATTAATTTGTTAATTGTTTTATTTGCCTTTGAAGTTAACATCCAACTGACACCTCGAACAATCGAAAATGTTGAAATCCCTTGAACCGTTATAAACATCAGCATTGTTTCTTTCTCATGCTTTGGTTCACAAAAGAATTTATGATGCATGTAACGATTGGATTTAGTTGATGTTACTTTTTTTATTTCAGAAGATCCTGGACACCTGTCTCCGGTGATCTAAATCGGCCAGTTAAGCGTCTGTTCACACCTGAGATCAAGCGAATGCTCAAGGATTGGTTGGTGCGACGACGAGAAAATCCATATCCAAGCCGAGAGGAGAAGAAATCATTAGCTCAAAAAACTGGATTAACCTATATTCAGGTATAAACCGATTAACTCACCATTTTATTCGCATAATCGCATTAAAAGTGGATTTGTTTCAGATTTGCAATTGGTTTGCGAATTGGCGACGAAAACTTAAAAATGCTGGCAAAGAACCACAGAAGAACACATGGGGTAATTTGATAAAAAACTATAACACCAATGCCCGTGGAAATGTGGAACAGTTCAGTATTTGTTCGAGCGACAGTATTTGGGAAGACGAAGAGCGTCGCAACGAATACATTGGCAACAAAATCGCTAATGCCAATCGAATGGCCGGAAATTCACCGCAATCCGCAATGTATTTCAATAGTTTCCTTCGATTTGATCAGGACGTTTATGTGAAACCCACGTACAAAAATTCAGACAACAATCATGAGAAGATTGAACACTTAGGTCAATCGAATGCGGATGCTAAAAGCGATGCCACCGACCTTTCAAACGAACAATGTTATCAGGTAAACCAAACGAAAAGCGCATTCAATTCTCTCGGATTCCTTTGAATGAAATTGACTTTCATGGCTTAACAGTTTGCTCGAACAAAATTCTGGGTTGATTCACAGGTAAGCTCGACGACAAACAACAATAACGGTGATTCTGTGATTCATATGAAAGCAAGCAACGAACAAATGGAAGTGGCGTTGAAGCAGCAACAGGCCAATTGCTTTCCCAATCCGAAATACAAAAATCAAATCATGGAAAAGTATTTACAAAGTCTAGACAGTACACAGGATAACAAAGGCAAGTGTGGGCTTGAATTATCGAAATGGCTTGAAAGTGCAGCTAAGTTTACGCCTGAAAAGAATAACTACATCGAATGGGATTCAAAAAAGTGAGCATCCATCAAAACCGGTCCAATGTTTTTAAATTGCAATTCGAAACCGATTCTTCTTTGTCATTTATTTCAAAGGATGTGTGCCAAACAAGACGAATACCAGGACCAGTATCTAGCTGAAACTAATATTACCAGCATTCATCAGAAAGAAGAGCTGGACGCAGCCGAAGCGCTCACTTTTTTGGCCGGCAACTTCAAAAGTCGATGGGTCAAATAAAGACATTTCTTTGTTTATTGTTGGAAGTGATTAATTTTTATGAGTATCATTTTTCTAACGCATTCCATCACGGAATCTTTGGTAGTTTGAATTCTTGAATTTCGACCATACATTTTTTTTTCTATCACTTACACAACAAACGAAAGAGAATTATTTTATTTAATGACTGTTAAGTACAACAATTGATGTTGAATTTATTTTTATTATACCAAATCTTGAATATATATATTTTTCTGTTGAGAATTTTACTAATTTTGGAGTTTTATTTCGGTTTGTTGAGTATAAATACGTTTTTCTTTTTCGAAAATTGATCAATTTTCTTTGAAAAAAAAATGAAGTGAGTTCTAGTTCAACAGAAAAAGTTTGAAAATGTATGTTTCAAAATATTCTCCATAGATAGCACTACTATATGGACCGAAAAGTAATGAATTTTCAATATTTTTGTTAATAATTCATAATCTTTCAAAGTGTTTTCCAATATTGAAAGAGTAGTTAACATCAATTTTAAAGACAACTGCCCTGGATCGTAATTTTAGTCATGAATTTCATCCATGTTTTCCTTTACGTAAAACGATTTTGATGAAACAGCACAACGCTCAATGCATATGTTTGTCTCGTTCTGTCGTGCCTCTGCACACAATTGCTCATCGAATGTTCTGTGACATTCGGTGTTCATTCATTAACAAACAGACTACAATTCCATCATGTTGGTTGTGCGTCGCCGGACAAATATTCGAAATTTCAATATTTTCTTCTCCAGATAACCAACCACTTATAATTTATTTAAACAATCGAAAAAAGGTAATTCAAACGTAAATCATAAAAGAATTGTCGATTTAAATAAAGAAAAAAGGGAAAATATCAAACATTTTCAGAAAAATACGTCGTTCGCTATATTGTACGCCTGTTCCCTCTATTTTTTTCTGTATCGGTAGTCGGTTGGTATTAGGAGTAGAAGAAGCGTTTCGAATCGAATGCATGCGAGTCAAGAGTGGCGAGTAAAAAGCAGGCAAAGAATCGAATGAGCGACGTACGGTAATTCATGTTAGCCTGTTACTTGACGCGCCTCTTGCATCAAAAACGTATTTTGATTAGTTCGTTTGGTTCCTTTTACGCTCAATTCACTGCGATCAAAGCTGCTCATGTCACGGTTTTGTTTTGAAAGACTATTCGTATAGGCGAGTAGTACGTCGTTTCCCCAGCAAACGTACTGTTGTGACTGGCTGTTGTTACAGTTTGGTTGTGGCGCGAATGCCCGTTTCGAAACAGACAGCGTAGCTTGTGTTTGCCGCCTTGCTTTGCTTTGCTTTGCTTTACGGCAAGCGATATGGCAAAACGAAATGTGTGTTTTCTGTGCTGGGTGATGTGCTCCTGGTTGAATTGTGATTGTATAGGTGAAAAAAGAAATGGTTGGGAGTAGAGAAATCATAGGCCAGTTGTTGGATTCGTATTTTCGATTCTGAATCGGGCCGGTTTGTCGGTAGGCAAGTACATAAGGAAATAGAATTCTTGATGCATTTCGATGTCACATTTTATGGGCGCCTGTTATTCGTGTCGGTCGAGTAATGCAGAAAGCTGACAGATACCACCGCCAAAACGTGATTTCATTCAGCTTGAGCGCTACATTCATTTCCTTATAGCCGCTTTCCCATTTCGTACGTTCGCTTTACGATGGAGACTGTTCGGTGTGTGTATGGTTCATGTTACAAGTTGTGTTTGCCCGTTTCAAGCTTCTTTTGCCCGTGTGCACAAAATCATCAATGAAACAAGGCAAGCGTTGCTTTGACTAATGACAACATACCTTGAGCTTAGCTGTTCCTTTTCGCGCACCTGTGTCGCTTTTTTATTCACCTGAAACATCGAAACAAAACCGAACAAAAAACATGAATGTTTTGGAAAATTTAAAAATTTATTGGGCGTTACATCAATTTGACTTGGAGTTGCCTATCTCGTTTGGCACAGTGATGGTGCGACGAGGACGGCAATACGTAACCGCACAATATTCGAAACAATCGCTAGCGAACGCAGCGTATGGCAACGTATCGATGGGCGAAACGGAGAAAATACGAGCACAGCGAGACGATGAAACGAGAGTGAAATAGGTGCAAAGCACAACAGTCTCTCTGTTTTGCCAGCACACAATCGTCGACTCGAGGTAGTTGCTCTGAACCGCATATCCGCATTCGCACCGTGCTGATTTTCATGTGCACCTGGTAGAAATGTCAGACATTTATTTCACTTTTATCTCGATTTTTCCTTCCCATAAATCACAGAATTATGATTTAGTAGTGTTGCTGCTTTTACGAGCGTTTGTTTCAGTGATTGCTTCACAATTATTATGTGATTGGGGTGTTCGGCGAAGACAAGACTCACACTGAACTTCAGTCGATTTTCGATTCAATTTCAGCATTGAATGTAAACCGTGTTCATTGTCTGAGCTGTGCGGTACGCGCGCGTCTGTGTACGTGTGCATGTGTGTCTCTTTCACTTCTCTTTCTCGTTTTCATCGAACCGCTTCTACTTTCAGCCGTTCGGAAGCGTTTGTGTGGCAACGCTAAGATGAGTGAGTGGAGAGCCCAGCACAACAGCACCAGAAATGCGATCGAATATGTTGCATTGCCTATGCTGGTTTTCATGTGCGCCTGATAAAATTTGTCCCATTGCTCTCGTTTTGACGTCATATCTGTATTTGTAGCAGGTGCACGCCTTTCTGTTATGAACTCTAAACACACTGATCTCTTATCACAAAACGAAGCGTTTTTTTTTCTCCTCTTGAATCATGAAAGGGAGAAAAAATATGACTTGGGTCGTATTTTTATCACTTTAAATACATTATTATTGTGCGCAACTCAAATGGCAAACATTTATTCTATTCGGCTAAATTTAGTAGCAAATTGCTGGTTGCGACACGGAAAATATTCTAATTTACTACTACCTCACATCTTTACAATTTATTCGCTGATAAAGTTTCGTCAGTAAATTCTCTGAGCACTTTACGGCTTACAAGCCCTTTTTTCTCATTCTCATTGTTTACTGAAGATAACGTCGAAATTTTTTTAATATATACAGACACGCGTTCGGTTTGGATGAGCGCTACGTGCACTCAATATGCGTCTGTTATCATCTGTAATTTGAATAAGGCACCTGCATGTATGCTATAAACAAAATTAAGAAATAAATCGAATCATATGATTTTCCGCAAAAAAACATTTCAAACTTTTCGGTCAAGTGCTACAGTTCAATTACGCCTACTCATTAGAAATTGAACTGAACTTTACACGAGTCGAATGAATTGCTAACTTGGATAGAATTAGCCCGAAGAAAATCCAATCATTTTATTTTTGAATTTGCAGCTATTTCAAGATTGTTATGAACGGACAGTGTCTATTTCAGGTATTTTGTGGGATTAAAAGGAAAAATCTCGTCAAATTATCTTAATTGATTGGTCGAGAAATGCTAATTGGGCTGAAATAGCGTTGCAGAAATGCCGACAAAATAGCCAAATACTTGCGAAATTGTGCATTGCGAAAAAAAATGTTTCAAATATTGAAGAAAAAAAAATTCTACGACAAAAAAATGAGGCTACAAATTATTATTTGCACATTTTGTATCAGAATTGGCGATCAGACGAACAAACAAACAGTGTGTCGGAATAAACACAAATGCGACCAAATTGGCAGATAGAGAAATGTTTATTTTTCTGTTGCAAAAGAGAGCATGCTCTCGATCGTCGTATTCTCGCGATGCAGTGCATTGGATTCGCCTACGTCTTTTTTAATTATACACTTTGCTTGATATCGTTATATTCCGTTTGGTGTGTAATCGCAACGAAGCACGCAACCCAAAAAAGGAGTGAATTCTTATTTAGTTTTGACTCGTCATTTCCTATAAGCTTGAATAACTTGAATGCATCCTCAGCGTTGCTGTTTAGCATGGATATACATATGTGCTTGGGTGGAGAGAGAATTCAGAAAGTAAAGGACCATTCAAAAAAAAAAAAAAAAAAATCAAACCGAACAGCGTATATCATTATCTTATCCGCCGAATGACTAACCATCGCGCATCTATTGGCCGTGTTAAAATGTATAAAGAAAAAAGGCACCAAAGATGTGGTCCGTCTATTAAGCTGGCGAATGTGTGGGAACAGAAGCCCCTTTGGAATGTTCTGCGAATAAACGTTCGTGTGCAAATGATTCTGTGATGGTCATTTTCTTTCTTCCTCTCGATTTGTGCAGAGTAAAATGAAAGTTCGATCTGTCAGATACGCTCTACACATACAATAATTTAGAAAATAGGCATTCAACGATGCTTTGGGCCATCACGACATTCTCGCAGTAATGGATTCTCATCGTATGCGTTTCGGACATGCAACTCATGTTCGGCAGCGGTGGGATCAGAGAATGTTTTCCTGCGAAAAGAACAAATGCTTATTGTTCGTTTGAATGTGGTGATCACATTGTTGGATCACATTGCTTTGCATGGCAAGTGGATTTGAACTGTGTTCCGAAGCACAAATCCCCAAACAATGCTTTGATTAAATCAAATATAAATCTCGAGATGTCATAAATGATATCATTGATTTTTTTTTATCGATAAATTAAATTATAGATGGGAAATTGCACTCTTCGTGAGTGCACCTACACCGGGTAAACACCGTATTTTCTTAATCAAGCGGTTGTCAACGTGAGTATTATGAATTGTACGATGCAATCGTAGGTTTGGAGAAGAATGACGCGTTTCACAAAAGAATAATGAACTCAGAAATGACGGAGAGCGTGAGCTAATATCATATGGCTTATAAAAATTGTGATTCCCAAATAAATAGAATGAAGTTGCATTTAATTCGAAAAGAAAATATTGTTCCAAGTTGACGTCTCACGCTGTCTTAATTATGAAATAAATGTTATAAAAGTTAGTTGTTTTTGTAATCGCTTGAGACTGATAAGTGAACGACGATCGCAGGTTCCAGTGCATTTGTACCGAAACCCGTACAATGTTTACTCAATGATTTTTTTCCCCCTGTGTTGTTGTTGGTGCTCCAATGATAACGATTACAATCACTGTTGAATTGTTATTTCGATTTTGTGTGTTTCAGTGCTTGTCTTGTCAATTTTTTCCTATTTCACTTCAAACGGAACATCTGTTCGACAAATGACTAAAAACGACATATGGCCGAGGCTAAATACGACGTATTTCGAGTGCCTCACTTTTTTTTTCTGCTTCGATCAATTCA